CTGCGTGGTCCCCAGTGGGAGGGGGCAGTGGGAGGGGGCTCTTGGCAGAGTGTGATGCCTCATGTCTTCCTCAGTGCCTGTCAAAGGGCGATCCTTCATCCCCCTCACGCCCCGAGAGAAAAACCTGTGCCCCGGCGCCTCCGAGGAAGCTTTTCTCAACAGCACCCTCAGCACCCTCCTCCTCCCCGCCCTCTACTCCGTGGTCCTGCTCGTGGGGCTGCCAGCCAACGCTCTGGCCTGCTGGGTGCTGGCCACCAACTTCAGGAGGTGTTCCAGCACCCTCTTCCTGCTCAACCTGGCTGGTGCTGACCTGCTCTTTGTCCTCCTGCTGCCCTTCAAGATCTCCTACCACCTCTTGGGCAACCACTGGCTCTTTGGGGACTACTTGTGCCGTACCATGGTGGCCTTCTTCTATGGGAACATGTACAGCTCCGTCCTCTTCCTCACCTGCATCGGCCTGGAGCGCTACATCTCCGTGGCACACCCGTTCCTGTGGAAGGGCTCCAGCTGGACCAGGGGCAAGGTGGGCATCTGTGTGGGCATCTGGCTGGTGGTGGGGGCTGGCATGAGCCCTCTGCTTTTGCACTCCCAGACACAAGATATCTCGAGCCTGAACATCACGACATGCCACGATGTCCTAGAAAAGGGAACACACATGTTCTTCCGCTACTATTTCCTCTCCCTGGTGGGGCTGGGCTTTGGTTTGCCCTTCGTGCTCATGACCATCTCCTACAGCTGCATCCTGGCGCGGCTGCTGGCCAAGGGAAGGTGCTATGGGCAGGTGGTGCGTGTCCTGGCCCTGGTCCTCCTGGTCTTCATCCTCTGCTTCACCCCCAGCAACGTGCTGCTCTTCATCCACTACATGCTGGAGCCCACGGGGTGCCACAACATCACCTACTTCTGGTATGCCCTGGCCCTGGTGCTCAGTGCCTTCAACAACTGCTTTGATCCCTTCATCTACTTCTACATCTCCCAGGATTTTCGGGGCTGGGTCCAGGATGCCAGAGGCCGCTGCCTGCGGGGGCTGGAGTCCTCGATGGGGAGGTCCACGGAGAAGACAGCCTTGCCCCTGAGGTCCAGTGAGCAGAGCCAGGGGGTGCCAGGCTGTGTCCTCCTGCCCAGCGAGGAGGGATCCTGCAGTGTGGTGCCCAACACGAAGGGCTGGCAATAGACTTGGGCAGAAAATCCCACCTGGATCTGAGGTTCACTATGACTTTGCCCCAGTTTTGCAGTTTTGCTGGCACTGCCCCATTCCATGGGTCCCCCAGCTGGGTGCCTGGCCCTGGCACCTTGATCTCCCCACCTGCCACACCCTGGCATCCCTCACCACTCCTCCTGCAGTGAGCAAACCCTCCAGAGTACAAATAAACCTTTATTTCTCCCTGCTGGTGGCAGGAACAGGTATAAACCCCCTCCCTGAGCAGGGGCTGTCCTCCATTGCTGGACTACACACTGGGCACACACGGCCAGCCCTGCTCCTGTTGTCCCCCCCCAAAATATGCCACAGTAAATACAAGAAGGGAAGGGGGAGTGACTTGGGTGTCCAGACCCTGCCCCATGGGCCCAGTGCTGGAGAGGGGACATGCTGTGTCCCCCTGTGCTGGCAGACACGGTGTGCCTCCCTGCCTGACACGGTGCAGTGCTGCCAAAACATGCAGGCACCACGCTTCCACTTTTATTTTCCCTTTTACTTGCTTCCCTCGGTGCTGGGCTCCATGACAGATGTGCCACTCATGAGTGAGAGCACGTGTGGCAGCATCCCCAGTCCTCCCAGGAGGGGGTACCAGGGCTCAGCATGCCGGTCCCCACTAGTCCCTTGGTGGCCACCAGTCCCCAATCCTTGCCCGGCTCCAGCGTAAGGAGGAGGAGAGCGTGGATTCCGTGATGTGGGAGCGTGGGGGACCCATCACTGCTGCCACCCAGGTCAGTGGCTGCCCCTTTGGCCAGGTGGGTCACAGCTCACGTCACCGGCTGGCCCGGCCCCGGGGTTTGGCCATCGCTCTTCCTGAGGATGACGCTGCTGAGCTCCTGGATGAGTCTGTCATTGATGGGCGAGGGAGGCTGCAGGCTCCTCTTCCTGGGCAGCTCCAGGGAGCTCTCTGCACCAGGACTGCTCCCCGGTGTGGCTGCCTGCTCCCAGTCCCTGTCCAGCGCCAGGGAAGGCTCCACATTCCTCTCCAGAGAGGCTGTTTTGGTGGGTCTGAGCCCCTGGGTCGGAGCTTTGCCGCTCTCCAGGTTCAAGCCCCTTTCGAGGGACACGGCTTTGGTGACAGAGGGACCTGTCACCCTCTGGGCCGGGCTGGCAGGCAGCGAGGAGCGCAGTGGGGTGGCTGGGGGCTGCTCAGGGAATGGGGCTGGTTTCTTGGACCTGTCCACGGGGGGCACGGCCGACAGGTCTGCCAGCAGCCCCTGCCCCAGGTCCAGCACGGCCAGCTCGGGGAAGTTCCCCACCTCCTCGTACACAGGATCAGCGTCCACCTCCTTCTCCTGCTGCTCCTCCAGGGAGTCCTGGTGAATCTTCATGGGCTGGGGAGGGCAGGGGGTCAGGGTGAGGGGCACTGTCCACACTGCTCAGCTAGACCCCTCCGTCCCCCCTCACCTTGCCCTCCCTGCACTCGGGCACTGCCTGGGAAGCTTTGCCCCTCACTATGGGGCTGATGCCCACAGAGGACCCACCCTCCATCAGGTCTCTTGGCTCAGGCACTGCTGCCCCTTTCCTCCTCATCACTGATGGAGGGGGAGCATTTTGGTCCTTGCCAAGGCACGGTCCATGCCACCAGCCCAGCAGCCCTTGGCAAAGGGGCTCTGGGGTGGGGAGGGCAGGTGGATGCCCACATAGAGCTCAAAGCCAGGTGAGGTGAAGTTCAGCAATAACTTGAGGAGGAGGAGGACCCAACCTGTTTCCTTGCATTTCTTACACTGATCCCCTCTGGGCAATGTGTGCCCAGTGAGAGAGGCTCTGGGAACTGGGCTGGACTGTTGTGGTCTTGCTCGCCCACAGCGGGACCATGCAGGGACCCCCATCCCCAGGTGCAGGACATGCAGAGCAATGGGCACCCCCTCTGCCACACAGCACGTGCAGCATGGCCTGGGCATAGGTGGGATGCTGTAGGTGAGCCCTGGCTGCTGTAGCCAGCAGGAGCAGTGCAAAGCCAGCCACGGACACGCTCCACGTGTGCAGGTACTTACAAAGAACATGGACAAAGTCCTTCGTGTGTGCAGGCGGCGCTGGAAACAGAGGAGACGGGCACAGGTAAGCACAGAGGGCATGGGGCAGGAAGGCAGAGGAGGGGCAGTGGGGTGCAGCACCCCCCACGTGGGGTCTGCAGGCACAGAGAGCTGCCACGGACACGAGCACAGCACCCAGCACCCAGCACCCAGCACACACACCGCCGAGCACAGGGACACACACCCACAGCACCCGGCGGTGCCGGGCAGCACACACCCACCCCACGGGCTCTG